ATTTTCGATACTTTCTATTAAACATTTTACAGATAATCTTGAATCTTGACGAGAAATGTTAGCTTTTCGCCGCGCAGCAATCTCTTGTTGAACACTTGTTAATACACAATGTTGAGTTTCTGTAGGTGTACTTGCCGGTCTCTGTTGCGGTTGTTGAATTACCTTTTGATTAGCTGCAAGACAAAACAGAATAAAAAAGAATTGCACTTCACACATTTAGAATGAAATCATGTAACAAAAAAGCAATAAGCACTATAATTTACATATAACAAAAAGCACAAGAGTGACAAGAAAAGATTTCTAGGAAATATTTCGGTCGCCTTTTTCGACTCGTAATTGTGAAGCCAGAAATATATTTACATTTACTGTGTCAAATAGTACAAAAGTAGTTTGACGAGGGATAAAAACATAAAAGCGGAAATCCAGGACGAAAACTAGAAAACATAAGTGAGCTGAAATAAAGATTAATCCAAACAATGTAAACGATGAAAGAATGGGACCCAGAAGAGATACATCCGAGACTAGCAATAAGAAGGTGTATTATGAATATTTAACACATTTTTTCGCTAGAATAAAAAACCAGGACAGACAACGGGGATTTGAACTCTGCAAATACAAGCAATCACGTTTCCACACTACTTTGGCGACTTACGGTCGCTTATTGTACCTATTTGACGGCCTGGTCTCAGTTCCACATCCTCCGTGATCATCTCAAATTTTTCCCTTAAAGACGAAGTCCTTCCTATCAGAGATGTATCCTTGAACACTAAATTGTTACTATTTACATTTAGTTTTGAATCTGAATTTAAGTTCGAATTCTCATTTCTTATCTTTTTTTCATTTTCATTCACCAAACCACTCATTTTAAATTCTGTATTTGGTTCAGATTGGGATAAGTTCATGTTCAAAAATTTCATGCGTTTTAGTCTATTCGCTTCGCAAAGAGTTAGATTTTTTTTCGTCTCTTGCAGTTCATCATCGAATTTCGAAGGTTCGTTAGTAATCCGCTGCGTCGGGGTAAAATCTAATACTTGAGTGCTCTCTTTCGAATATAATGGCTTCCTTGATTCAAATTGAGAAATGAGCGGTGTCAAAGGAGCCTCTAGGGCTGATCTAGGTAAATTTTCCAAGGAACAAAGAACAGGGTATGTATTATGTTTTTCATTGTCTTTATTTTGATCTTTCTCAATATTTAAAAAATCTAAATCTTCTGATTCTTGATATAAGCAAGGCTCAATTGGAACACTTTTTAATCTCATAGATACCTTAGCATTGGTATCTTTGAAGCATATTGCATTTTTGTCTTCATGATCATTAAAAGTACTGAAATCTTCTTTCTTCTTTATTTGTCTTACTATATCACTATTATTTGGATTGTCAGTAGAATAGGTTCGTAAATTCAGATTATTCAGCGAGGTAGAAAAGGATCGATTTTTCAAAGTGGAGTTGAAGACATTTTGCCTGTTATCAATATCTAAAAAGGAATCGACAATTTCACTACAAAATCCGGGTTCGCTTATGTTTAGGAATAATTCACGTTCTTTATTCAGAAACCAATCGTTCTTACGTTCTTCTTCCTCTTCCTTAAACTTCAAAGCTTGCAAAACAGAAGAATTTTTGCCTTTCACATCAGATGAAAATGTATCTCCTGCATCAGACTCATTTGTATATTCAGATTTTTTTATATTAATTACTTCAAAATTGTATGTATTTATAGAGTTATTCATTTGAGTACTTTTTTGCAAGACTTTCTTCATTTCAGGATCTACCTCAAACTTCAAATCATCCATCGCGTTCTCCACTCCAGAATATATATAATTTTTAGGAACGAAAAATCGACTATTAGAGATTTTAATACCATACGAATTTGTCCCGACATTTTGTATTCCTGTTATATTCTTTAACAAGGACAATTTTGCGTTTGCATTTTCTTCCGATGCAGATACACTCGGTACATTTAATTTTGAACAATCTTCGGCAATCTCAAGGCAGTCGCTTAAGTTTGTATTATTAAGATTAGCAATTTCAATATTTAATGCTTTTGCATTAAAGGCATCTAATTCTGTTGAAGATTGTCTTTCCGTAAAGTATTGGCTTTTAGAATTTTCAGTAGATTTCAATAAACTATCTTTTGATTCAAAAGGAGGATAAAGTTTAACTTCCTTTTCAGAAATTAATTTGTCACGTAATTTAATAGATTCTTGATCACTGTTATCAAATTCAGAACCTTTCTGAGAAATTATTGAATTTAAATTTGTCAAATCATTTAAATCTTCTTTAGTACTTTGACTTGTTATTTTTAAAGTTTTTGTTATTTTTAAAAGGTCAGGTTTTAAGTCGCCCTTTATGAACTCATGTCGTCTGTTTATAATGGTGCGGCCGCGTTTTAAAATATTATTAGTGGATTTGCGAGGACTTCCAATATCACTATTGGAGTTCTTACGTTGAGGAACTGTGATGCTGCCTGATATCCAAATAGAATTGGGAAAAAAAAAAAAAA